ACACAAGGGGAACACGCACAAGGGGACACAGGTGGAAACTGAGTGCCCAAATGAGCCACAGAGATATTAGAAAGAACTTTTTTAGTGTCAGAGTGGTTGACAAATGGAATGCATTAGGGGGTGATGTGGTGGAGGCTGACTCCATACACAGTTTCAAGTGTAGATATGACAGAGCCCGATAGGCTCAGGAATCTGTACACCTGTTGATTGACGGTTGAGAGGCGGGACCAAAGAGCCAGAGCTCAACCCCCGCAAACACACAAACACTAGGTGAGTACACACACACACACTAATATCAAGGGAATTGCTCGCCATTACTGCAATTATGAGGCTCTATTTACCAACCAGTACGATGTTGATAAGGCAATTAGGGCACCATTGATAGAATCGTATCACGCTTCAGTAATTTGTCGCGGATTCCACCAATACCCTTCCTCTGAGCCCCCCCCCCCCTCCGCCCCCCCCCCCCTCTCCGAGTCATAGAATTATACGACAGTTCAGCAACAGTTATTGAACTCCCACTCGGGGGAAAAAATAAGGTCCGGCGTTTGAAGCTCAATAATTAACTAGTTAATATTACCTCTGGAGAGGAAAGTTTTCCTCGTTACCCGGTAGCGAGGCCGTCGTTAGCGAGACGACGGTAGTTAGCGAGACGGTAGTTAGCGAGACGGTGGTTAGCGAGACGACGGTAGTTAGTGAGACGGTGGTTAGCGAAACGGTGGTTAGCGAGACGGTCGTTAGCGAGACGGTCGTTAGTGAGACGGTCGTTAGCGAGACGGTGGTTAGCGAGACAGTCGTTAGCGAGACTGGTTAGCGAGACGGTCGTTAGCGAGACAGTCGTTAGCGAGATCTCCTTATCTTCCTCCCGCTTGTTTAATGTCCAAGTGCCGCTTGCGCGCAGTTATTTGCTCTATTTTCCTCGTTATCATCAGGGCTAAGTCTATCAATCTATTTACGTTACTCGTGAGTAACGAAATGTTGACTCTGGGAATCTTTAACGAGGGGTTCGAAGTCTCTTCGATTCTTTCCGAACCGTGCTACGAATAATCCTGGATTTTGTTTACCGAACAGCTCGTTACTGGACATTAACGCAAGCCAACAACTGGTAACGCAATTCGCTAACGGCAGCGAGCAGCTGGGCGTCGAAATTCGCTAAGAATGTTTTACGAAGGAGTCCTACATTGGGAGAGAGGTGAGAAATTCTCATTTTCTCATTTCAACCGCGTCTGGTTGAAAGTGGATGTGAGTGGATGGGTGAGGAAGTTGTTGAGTGGATGAGTGGCTGGCTGTTTGGCTGATTGACAATGCAAGAAATGATATTAAAATTTATGTTTCGTGGACAGCGATGAAGACATTACAATCGTATCCTTTAACTGTTAGCGAGCAGCGTCCAACAGCCTGGTTGACCAGTCTAGCAACGAGGAGGCCTGGTCGACAACCGGACCCCTGGGACGCTAAGCCCCGAAATCACCTCAAGATAATCTCAAGATAACCAAGGCAACTGAGCCTCACTGGTTATCTGTTCCCTTGGATCCTTCAGTTGCTGAAAATTGTATTCTCTCTCTTATCCTGTTCTGCCTACGCTAGAAATTGGATTAAAATAATCCTATCCTTTATTTTATATCAATTAAATTTTCTTGTGTAATTTACCCTCTCGATAGGCCTTAGGCCTCTCTTCGCTCTGAAATTACCCGAGCCGTCTTGGGATAACTGGGATCTATCAGTTGATTTCTTAACTGCACCCAAGACAGATAGTGTACACTCTACATTATTACAACAGTTAAGACTGTGCAGCATCACTGAGAGTACTCAGGGTATGGGTAACGTTGTGTATCAGTGCTATACCGACGGCTCTGTAGAAGAAGGTGGACCGGATGTGCATGTAATATATTTAAACAATCATCTCTCGTCCATTCAGCAGTGAAGTGGGCCAGTGACTGGGTCAGTGACTGGGTCAGTGACTGGGCCAGTGACTGGGCCAGTGACTGGGCCAGTGACTGGGCCAGTGACTGGGCCAGTGACTGGGTCAGTAACTGGGTCAGTGACTGGGCCAGTGACTGGGTCAGTGACTGGGTCAGTGACTGGGCCAGTGACTGGGTCAGTGACTGGGTCAGTGACTGGGTCAGTGACTGGGCCAGTGACTGGGCCAGTGACTGGGTCAGTGACTGGGTCAGTGACTGGGTCAGTGACTGGGCCAGTGACTGGGTCAGTGACTGGGCCAGTGACTGGGTCAGTACGACTCAGACCCAACTTGCAGGCATATACCTTGCCACTGAATTGTTAAAAATGACAAAGACAGTGGAACTTATATACTGTGACTCGCAGAGTGCACTCCTGGCATTGAACGCACATAGTACTAACACCCAGAACATTGTCAACTGATATTCAAATAAATGGTTTATGTTGAACTCTGTAAATACTATAGCCGAATACTGGAACACGTGTTGATATATTGGACTTATATCAAAGATTGACTATGTAATGCATCAGTTAAAGCAATATTATATTATAATATATATATATATATATATATATATATATATATATATATATATATATATATATATATAACCTTGTTTAAGTAGGAGAGACGTAAATATCATATTATATATTACATATATGTGTATATGGGATATGTGTAACCTGGTCAAAATTGCATTTCACCTTTGCAAACGCACATTAATCACATTATGTAACAAAAAACATACTTCGAACACTGCTATGTGGGACAAATGTAAATCTATGTAGCTTCGATCAGCATTTTAAACCCGCTACAATCACCATCTGTGGTCGATTGTTCGGTAAATCACTGAACTATATGTTTAACAGATTTCCAACCCTGTCCATGGAGGCCAGAAGAAAATGTATATATATATATATATATATATGCTGGTTAGCATTGTAAATCTCTGGCCACGTCTGTGGTAGAAAAAATAATAATAATCCAAATTTTTCCTGTGGGAAGGTCCTCCTCAGGAACATCGAACCTGGGAATGGTTCACTGGAGAACAGGAGAACCAGTAAAGAATTGTTAATCCTAGGCAGGAACAGTGAACAGGAACACAAGGGATAGATTAAGGGAGGGTTATAGGAAGCCTATATTGGAGTACCGGCTGGTGGGGTCCAGATGGGTGGGGGTGTGGGAGTAGGGGAGATGAGTGAGGGGGGGGGGGGAGGGTAGGAGAAGTGAGTGAAGGGTAGGGGAGGTGAAAAGGGGGGGGGGAGGGGTGAACAGAAGTGTCAACAGAATGGAATAAAAGCTCACCTGGCCTACCTGACAGATTAGGCCTAGGTGGCGATGATGGACGAGGACTAACTATAGGTGTGAGGCCTACCTGTCTATGTCCCCCCTCCTCTCCCCTTCCCCCCCCCCCCCCCATCATCCCCTCTCTCTCTCTCTCTCTCCCACTCACAATCTCCCTATTATTTTCTCCCATTGTGTGTAATTATCACCCTGATCTAATAGGTAAGGGGGAATTTATACCCTCGTCTGGGATCTCTCCCTCTCTCTCTCTCTCTCTCTCTCTCTCTCTCTCTCTCTCTCTCTCTCTCTCTCTCTCTCTCTCTCTCTCTCTCTCTCTCTCTCTCTCTCTCTCTCTCTCTCTCTCTCTCTCTCTCTCTCTCTCTCTCTCTATCCACACTATCAAAGGAGAAGGGATATTTACCTCACGGAGTCTCGACGTCTCTTCTAATCCCACCTTCACCTTCCAGGTGGAAACATGTTTATCCCAACATAAAGGATCTGATGAAATGTCTGGAGCACGGTGGTGGGATCGAACTAGCGTGCTGTGCCACCCTATCCTGCTCCAGAGAGTTTCTCGTGCATATAACATGTTTGTTGTAGTTTCCTTATGTAAAGTGAATAAGCTAGAGGAGATGGACCCCCGGTGAGTAATTCAGCAGTTATCTAAGTTATCTTGAGGTTATCTTATCCCTTAATAAACACGGAATGATTCTAAGTTATCTTGAGGTTATCTTGAGATGATTTCGGGGCTTTAGCGTCCCCGCGGCCCGGTCCTCGATCAGGCCTCCACCCCCAGGAAGCAGCCCGTGACAGCTGACTAACTCCCAGGTACCCATAAAGGGGGGAAGAAATAGCCTAAGCTACTCTATTCCTTTGAGATGTATTTCTTTCTTATCTCAATAAACATACTTGAACTTGGTACCTATTTACTGCTAGGTAACAGGAGGCATCAGGGTGAAAGAAACTCTGCCCATCGTTTCTCGCCAGCGCCTGGGATCGAACCCGGGACCACAGGATCACGCGTCCAGTGTTCTGTCCGCTCAGCCACCGTCTCCACTAGTGTATTCTCTACATTCTCAAGTAAGAATCTTCACCTAATCTTAAATCCAACTAAGAAAAAGCCGAAACACAGCGACGATGGCTTCTAGCCGGGTCGGCGTTCGAATGTCCCAGATAGTGGAAGTGTGTGCTGGATAGAGTTGCTTATTCACCCCCCTATCCCAGCTCCTTGTCTTCCTATCCCTCCCAAGTGCTGGATAGGCATTCTGGTCCAGCTGTTTCTCCTTATAAGCGTCTATCCCTATTTCTCCCGCTCCTATCAGCATGTGGGATAGGTGCATGGGTGGGATAAGTCTATACTACGAGTCATTTATATACATATATATATATATATATATATATATATATATATATATATATATATATATATATACATATATATATATATATATAAGCGGACTTACCTTAACCTGACCGAACTGGTCCGGATCTGACGAAAATATAATATATAATGTGTTTTATATTTATATATGTGGTGTGAACGAATTGTAACGTCACTATGACGTCACAATGGTCATGCCAATACAGGTTTTAGACCCGACTTGTTCAAAGCAGCGGGGGGGAGGGGGGGCCATTTTGACTTAGGACCAATGGGGAGAGCCGCCCCCCCTCCCCCTCACTCACTCACACACTCGTTAATCAATGGTAACCCCTCCACGTGGCCCGCCGCCCCCCTGCTGCTGGTATTTCTGCTGAACCTCCTGCTGATGCTGGTACTTCTGCTCCACCTCCTGCTGCTGCTGGTACTTCTGCTGAACCTCCTGCTGATGCTGGTACTTCTGCTGAACGTCCTGCTGCTGCTGGTATTTCTGCTGAACCTCCTGCTGATGCTGGTACTTCTGCTCCATCTCCTGCTGCTGCTCGTATTTCTGCTCCACCTCCTCCCGCTGCTGCTGGTACTTCTGCTCCACCTCCTGCTGCTGCTGGTATTTCTGCTCCACCTCCTGCTGATGCTGGTACTTCTGCTCCACCTCCTGTTGATGCTGGTACTTCTGCTCCATCTCCTGCTGCTGCTCGTATTTCTGCTCCACCTCCTCCCGCTGCTGCTCGTATTTCTGCTCCACCTCCTCCCGCTGCTGCTCGTATTTCTGCTCCACCTCCTCCTGCTGCTGCTCGTATTTCTGCTCCACCTCCTGCTGCTGCTGCTGGTACTTCTGCTCCACCTCCTGCTGCTGCTGCTGGTATTTCTGCTCCACCTCCTCCTGCTGCTGCTGGTATTTCTGCTCCACCTCCTGCTGCTGCTGGTACTTCTGCTCCACCTCCTGCTGCTGCTGGTACTTCTGCTCCACCTCCTGCTGCTGCTGCTGGTACTTCTGCCCCATCTCCTGCTGCTGCTCGTACCATCACCAAAAACAATGAACCATAGTCAATAAAACTGTCACAAGAATACAGAAACTAACACACAAATCTTTAGCCAAAAATTACAACCCAAACAACTCAACCGCCATTTAAAAAAAAAAAAATTGAGCTCATTGTCTCAAGTTTAATTCGTAGTCACTTACAAAAGCTTAATTAAAAAAAAAAGTCTTGACGCTTATGTCTACAAGATGTTGAAAGTCTTATTTTATTTCTTATTAATTTTTTAACTATTCTTTTCTCTTTCCTTCTCTTTATTACTTTCTCCCTTTTCCGTTTTTTTTCTCCGTTTTCTAAGGTGTTTCCTTAAGGCACCAATATTCCTCAAGTTATAACAGGAAAATGACAGCGTCAAAATTGAAGTGCATTAGTGACATTATAAGCATTGCAATACCGACGTATTACTGGATTGATTAACGTGGGCTCGATAGGATAGGTTAGGATAGGATAGGAGGCTCGTATGGGCTTCTGGTTAGAGGGAAACTATTTAATATATGACGCTGGATAGGTATCTCCTGTCTTTCATATTTTAATTCTAATTATTCTTCCTATCCCTCCATAGTTCATTCAACCGGTTATCTTGAGGTGATTTCGGGGCTTAGTGTCCTCGCGGCCCGGTCCTCGACCAGGCCTCCACCCCCAGGAAGCAGCCCGTGACAGCTGTCTAACTCCCAGGTACCTATTTACTGCTAGGTGAATAGGTGCATTAGTTTGAAAGAAAATCTGCCCATTTGTTTCCAATATAGCCGGGGATCGAACCCCGGTCCGTAGGACTACGTATCCAGCGTGCTGTCCACTCAGCCACCAGCGCCCCCTACAGCGTCTCTGTGTGTGTGTGTGTGTGTGTGTGTGTGTGTGTGTGTGTGTGTGTGTGTGTGTGTGTGTGTGTGTGTGTGTGTGTGTGTGTGTGTCTGTGTGTCTGTGTCTGTGTGTGTGTATAGAAAATGATATTATTTGTAAATAAACAAAGCCAATTCGGCGATTACCTCAGGCTGGTAGACACGCTCAAACTACCCTTCAGCCGCCAAGGTTGTTCCCCTTCGTCTTGCCGTCATAACTATGGCAGTTGCGGGCGTCTTGGGGCCTAACGATCCCCTTGACGGGAGTTTAATGACCAATTTATGGCCGCGCGAGCCGCTCCTTTGGTTAATTGTCGCGTGGTGGGTGGGCGGAGCCGCCGCCGCTCTCGGCCAATCACAGGAGCGCGAAGCCATTACGCCCGTGACGTCATTGTTTAGGCAACCAATAGGAATTTAAATTTTCGCTTCGTTTTCTTTTTGGTTTGTGGGGCTCACATATTTGTACTTTATATATATATATTATATATATATATATATATATATATATATATATATATATATATATATATATATATATATATATATATATATATATATATATATATATATATATATATATAATACGGCTTCAGCTCTTGTCCCCCGTCTTTATAAACTAGCTATAATATGCAATTGCTTCAAACCATTTACTCGAAAGTCTACTTAAATACAGCCTCACACAGCCCCGCTCCTGTGCCGGGAAAGTCAACTACGGACTCACCATAGCCCGTGCTACTTTGGAACATTTGTTCAAAGTAGCTGAATCTAAAATAACAACATCCTTACAGCTATAAGGTACATTATAACTTTATATTTGTAACTCCTACTGGTTCATGCTATACCAACTGGCCTTTATTTTGTCAGTGTCCCAAAAGATTTTGTATATCAAGATCATGTCTCCTTTCTCACTTATCGCTGCAGGTGTAGTACGATCACTCTCAGCCATTCCTTGTACTTCAGTCCTCTCGGTTCTAGAGCCAGTTTCCTCTTGTGCTTTGATTGGTGGAGGCTCCAGGGCCCAACACAGATGAGGGGTTCCATGCCAGGTCTATGTACTCTAATACAAGGGGGGGGGGGGGGCAGATGGCCTTATATCTATGGTCTAACCGCCTGACAGCTGAGTGGACAGCGCTTCGGATTTGTAGTCCTGAGGTTCTGGGTTCGATCCCCGGTGGATCGAACACACACACACACACACACACACACACACACACACACACACACACACACACACACACACACACACACAGACACACACACACACACACACACGACAAAGCAACAGATGATATATATTACCCAAATTGTTTATAGAATGACGTCCCATCCTTCCAATCATTTAAGTGTAATATACCAGTAGAATATACATAATTTTTATATGGAATACAGCTTGTTACTGCCTCAGTAGTTAGGCAGGTGTGTGCGGGGGGGGGGGACACACACACACACCTGTTCAAAGATGAGTTACCATAAAAACTATTAATCATGAGGCTACTCACTAACTCACACACTAGCTACTCATATTCCTCAACTCGTAATATAGTTACACATCAACCTCCTACACCATATTTACTCACAGACTCGTTCTTTTCAAGCTCTTTTCAAGTTCTTTTCAAGTTCTTTTCAAGTTCTTTTCAAGTTCTTTTCAAGTTCTTTTCAAGCTCTTTTCAAGTTCTTTTCAAGCTCTTTTCAAGTTCTTTTCAAGTTCTTTTCAAGTTCTTTTCAAGTTCTTTTCAAGCTCTTTTCAAGTTCTTTTCAAGTTCTTTTCAAGCTCTTTTCAAGTTCTTTTCAAGTTCTTTTCAAGTTCTTTTCAAGTTCTTTTCTCGTCATTTATTTACAAACTTATTCATCACAAATAATTTACTCACTCGTCTTCACATGTTTTTTTGCTCACACACTCACTGGTAGTGACTAACAAACGCCAAAAGGAGAGGGGGAAGAGGGGAGAAGGAGAGGGGGAAGAGGGGAGAGGGGGAAGAGGGGGAAGGAGAGGGGAAGAGGGAGGGAAGGAAAGGGAGAGGGGAAAAAGAGGGGGAGAGGAGAGAGGTTAAGAGAGAAAAAGAGACTTAAAATGTTCCATTCACAGAAGCTGAACAATCCTCAGATTCACATGAGGATTTGTTCACATGAGGATTTGTTGACATGAGGATTGTGGATTTGTTCATCCCCAGATTATGCTCCTCAGATTGAACATAAGAGACACGTTCTGGAAATCCATAAGAACATAAGAATAGAGGTAACTGCAGAAGGCCTATATTGGCCTATACGAGGCAGCTCCTATCCCAAAGATTAATCAGGTGTAATTGGCCTGTTATGTTGAACAGTGTCTTCTGTATTCTCTACCCATTGTGTGAGATAATTCTCGAAAATACTTTTGTCTTTAATGAGCGATTATGGTTGGAAATTTTCCTAACTCTTTAAGAAATAATTCCACAAAATTCTCTAAAAATAATAATAATAATAATAATATTAGTGTGTGTTAGGCACTTTCGAATTTATGTTTGAAATATTCGATGTTTGATGTTAAATACCAGAAAATCCATTCGATAAGTGATAATATTTATGTTATAGTTCAAAGTGATTTCTTAATCCTTTCTGATACTGGATACCAGGTTGCTATTGGCTCAATTCTCTTAAAAAATTAAAAAACAATGATTTTTTCTTAGCATTTCATAAAACATTATGCTCTGATCTCGGGAAAATCACAACCAAACACATTTCTGCTCAGCATAATTTGTCCTGTGCAAAGATGACATCAATGTTGTCGTATTTTGATGATGTCAATTACAAAATATGACAAAGATGTCATATGTTGATGACATCCATTTTGATCACATTACTCGCTAATAACCGTACTGGTCCACGTGTCAACCTATATGAACCACCAAACCTTTCATACGTACTTTATTGAGTTTCGAACTCACCCTGGGGCCCTCACACTGAGTCTAAGACACAGACACACAGTGATACAGAAAGAGAAACAGACACAAAATCAACTGAGAGACAGATGAGAAAGAGACACAGATGAGAAATAGTATTCACCGAGATAAACTTTCTTTGATTTACACATCTAGATGAACTTCCTTTGATGTACTCACCTAGATACGCAGACATTGCACTCATATAGACGTATTGACCAGACCAAACACTAGAAGGTGAAGGGACGACGACGTTTCGGTCTGTCCTGGACCAATCTCAAGTCGATTGTCAATCCACAATCGACTTGAGAAAGGTCCAGGACGGACCGAAACGTCGTCGTCCCTTCACCTTCTAGTGTGTGGTCTGGTCAACATACGTCAGCCACGTTATTGTGACTCATCGCCTGCATAAACGTATTATTTTAGATTTACTCTCCTATATGTACTAATGTATATGTACTTACCGAAGTGTGCTTGTAACGTTGAGCATTAGCTCCCGGTCCAGCCTGTGTAGACCCTGATCATATTTCTTGTCTTACATGGCCAGAAGATTACACTCAAGTGCAAACCACAACAGCCTGGCCAACTTCGACTACAATTCTCATCCTTAAAGAGAGTCCCTCCAGCAAATGTGGTCCTCAAGGATGACTTGTCATAACATCCTAGTAATCCCAAGCACCAATACAATTCGTCCTGTAAAACTGCGTAACGACCCTTCGCAGATTTCCTAAACCTAAAACTTAATGCTGGAAAAACTGCTTCTAATTCCACGCTAGCGTTTAATACGGTGTCTTTACATCATAGCACTAATTCTGTATTAATACCCAGGGGTAGGAATTACGCCTGATGGAGGAGATTTAGCCACTGTGGTAGGCGAGGGGGTCAGGTGGTAGTGTCGTTAATTCCTTTCCCAAGGCGGAGTTTATGAGATAGTAGAAAGATTCTGGAGAGGGTGAGAGAGAGAGAGACAGAGAGAGAGAGAGAGACAGACAGACGTCTCCACCAACCTTCTGTCATACCTAGAGTGTAATAAATGCGAGGTTATGTTACATTTAACCATTTAACTCCGCCGTAATACCGCGGGGAATGTAACTGCTGTAATTTACCGCGGCTGTTAAATTCCGCTTGCATCGCGGCCAAGTGTCCTAGATTACATAACTCCCGGGTATTTATAGACGCAACCCCCGACTGTAATTCGACCCTGATGTAATGAGCTTATTGCAATGGGGGGAACCATTACAGGGGAGCCCAGTTTACGCCCCCCCCCTGACTTGCAGCCATTGATCATAGCTCTTTCTTCCTCCTCTTGCAACAACGCTCAACAACTTCGTCTTCATACAACCCGTCCTCGACTCAAGTCCATTCCATCCAGCGGTCGACCCCACAGACGCATTCATAAATTTTAACTTGCTGTTCATTCAAAACGGGAAATTTCTCAAATATAAATTAATATTAAAATATATTAGCATATTGCGCAAATATTGGCATAGGTTAGATAGGTGTTTAGGTTCTGTTGGCGATTATTTGTATTTGTAGTACGTGGGTGAAGCATTTACAGCAACCTGCCCTCGACTCAAGTCCATTCCATCCAGCGGTCGATCCCACAGACGCATTCATAAATTTTAACTTGCTGTTCATTCAGAACAAGAATTTTCTCAAATATAAATTAATATTATATTATATTAGCATATTGTGCATATATAGGTTAGGTTAGGTTAGGTGTTTAGGTTCTGTTGGCGATTATTTGCATTTGTAGTACGTGGGTGAAGCATTTATAGCGTTGTGGTTCGAACAAAACTCGTCAGTGAAGCACTTGTTCCGGAAGTGTTCGAACGAAATCAGTTGTGAGTCGTGTGTAAACCGTTTTTCATTCATAAACAGGGGGTTTGGCGGGTGGATGGAATAACTTTTGGATCTTTCTTGGAGGACGGGCTGTTCATTGTGACTGCAAGACGAACACAAACACTTGTTGATTCAGATTCACGAAGCAGTTACGCAAGCACTTACGAATCTGTCCATCTTTCCTCAATTTTTGCCGGCTTTGTTTACAATTATTAAACAGTTAATGAGCTCCGAAGCACCAGGAGGCTGTTTATAACAATAACAACAGTTGATTGGCAAGTTTTCATGCTTGTAAACTGTTTAATAAATGTAACCAAAGGCGTCAAAGATTGAGGAAAGATGTACACGTTCGTAAGTGCTTGCGTAAGTGCTTTCGTGAATCTGGCCCCAGTATCGTTGTGTGTTCAACCTTTCCTATTACAAAGAACGTCGTTTTTCGCCCGTATGGGTTACCTAAGGCCAACAAATCATCGTCGTCGAAAATGGAAGCGGCTGGCGAAAATGACATACTGTCCCGTTTTCTGTTTTGGCTCCTCTGGTAGATTAGAAGAGGACACTTTAAAATTGACCATTTTCTTGACGTTAGGAAACCTTAGCAGACAAGTCAAGACAATCGACTTGAGAATGCAACCCGTTCTCGCAAATTTAATAAGTCAATATTGACTTATTAAATATGTGCATAAGTGACATACTTAACATAATAGTTTCCCTTGAAAAGCTTCATAGAAAACACCGACCTTACCTAACCTGCTTAGTATGTTAAGATAAGCATCTTATTGCTTCGTAATTACAATTATTACCTAACCTATACCTATAATAGGTTAAGTAACAATTGTAATTACGAAGCAATAAGATGCTTATTTTAACATACTAAGTAGGTTAGGTAAGGTCGGTGTTTTCTATGAAGCTTTTCAAGGTAAACTAATATGTTTAGTATGTCACATATGCACGTATTTAATAAGTCAATATTGACTAAGAAAGTGCGAGAACGGGTTGTAGTGTGTGGTCTGGTCGACTTAGGAGGACGGACTAGGAGCAGTTGTAGCTCCTCAAGTGCTTGTAGCCTGCTGTTAAGACCAGGATCTCCTCGGCTGCATTGGCCTCGCTACACAGCAGTTACGCGGTGATTGCACGGAATCTCTTGGATTAAATGTATTGTCATCAATGATGGGATAATGACAGTGTTTGCAACACAACACCCAAACAATACTCTCAACACAAACAACGCAGCTCGGAGCAAGCGTATAATTTTCTCAGCGGCGTAGACAGTAGGAAGAGTTGTTTCATGTGTATAATTTGGCTGCTGATGCGTCGTTGTTGAGGTAAATGTCTCGTCATTGCCTATAATCACGACTGCAGTCATCGGTAGATGAGTTCGTTGCGGAAATTGATGGGAAGTTCCAACACATGTTTCATTAAGTAATGTCGTCGCTTCAAAACCAATTGTGACGTCTTATTCTCGTTCTGTCTCTGTCTCTGAGAGGGGGAGAGAGAGAGAGAGAGAGAGAGAGAGAGAGAGAGAGAGAGAGAGAGAGAGAGAGAGAGAGAGAGAGAGAGAGAGAGAGAGAGAGAGAGAGAGAGAGAGAGAGAGAGAGAGAGAGAGAGAGAGAGAGAGAGAGAGACAGAGAGAGACAGCTGATCAGAAATACATTTCACCTTTGTGAATGCACATTAATGACACTATGTAAAGACACATCTAACACTTTATGTAGAACATACGTAAATCTGTGTATCTATGTATTTACGTATGTAGGTTAGCTTAGCATTTTAAAAGCCCCGAATCACCTTCTGTGGTTGAGTGTTCAATAAACCCCTTGAACTATATGTTTAACACATCTCTAACCCTGTCCATGGAGGACAGAAGAAAATTTATATATGCTGGTTAGCATTGTAAATGTCTGGCCACGTCTGTGGTAGAAAATAATAATAATACTAAAAAAACACTTTAGAGCCCAATAGGCTCAAGAACTTGTACACCAGTTGATTGACAGTTGAGAGGCGGGACCAAAGAGCCAGAGCTCAACCCCCGCAAGCACAATCCCCTTCCACTTCTTGGCAGGGAACCTAACACGGAAGTAAGCATGCGAAGAGTCACATTATATTACCGCTGCCTATAAGATCACCAATGTTATCAAATCTGGTGACCGTCAGTGTTATAAGAACCGAGATATTGAGCTTCGGCCTCACACGCATGGTGACCAGAGTTCGAGTCTCCAAGAACCCAGGTTAATCGAATCACCTGTGGTTGACTCGTTGCTGAATTAACAAGACCACTAAAGAAGAGTCGTTCAGTATGTTTACATAACAAATCAATGTCTTAGCAGCTGTTGCTGTTATAGATTCAGCTACTCTGAATAAGTTCCAAGTAGCACGGGCTATGGCGAGCCCGTAACTTACCTGGCCCAGGAGCGGGGCGTCTATCTCTTAGCAGCTGATTGGCAGAGTCCTTAAACAACAGCACAAGGCAGAGTACACCCATCTTCTGTGTCTTGGACGTGGTTGCGACGTCTTAAAACTTGAAATAAGAGGACGCTGAGGAAGTGGAAGTATCAGCATCTCGGAGCAAGAAGGTCTTTTCCCTAATGTTTTGTGATCCCTGAAAGAGTTCTCTACATTCAATCTTGAGGTTATCTTGGGATGATTTCGGGGCTTTAGTGTCCCCGCGGCCCGGTCCTCGACCAGACCTCCAACCCCCAGGAAGCAACCCGTAACAGCTGTCTAACTCCCAGGTACCTATTTACTGCTAGGTAACAGGGGACATCAAGGTGAAAGAAACCTTTTGCCCCATTTGTCTCCGCCTCCACCGGGGATCGTACCCGGAACCTCAGGACTACGAATCCAAAGCGCTGTCCACTCAGCTGTCAGGCGCCACCTTCAAGACCAGAAATTTAGCAGAAATGTTGATCGGAGTGAGATGGTTGTTAAGTATGAAGCCTGGTTGATCAGTCCAGCAACCAGGAGGCCTGGTCGACGACCGGGCCGCGGGGACACTAAGCCCCGGAAGCACCTCAAGGTAAGGTACCTCTCGTTTCGCTGTTGCTGGAGGAGGGCACTTACCGAATTTGGTTATGGTTGGGTCTGGCTCCTGTTGTGCTCTCAGGGGGGCTCCTGTTGTGCTCTCAGGGGGGCTCCTGTTGTGCTCTCTGGGGGGGCTCCTGTTGTGCTCTCAGGGGGGCTCCTGTTGTGCTCTCAGGGGGGCTCCTGTTGTGCTCTCTGGGGGGGCTCCTGTTGTGCTCTCAGGGGGGCTCCTGTTGTGCTCTCTCAGGGGGTGCTCCTGTTGTGCTCTCAGGGGGGCTCCTGTTGTGCTCTCTGGGGGGTTCCTGTTGTACTCTTTGGGGGGCTCCTGTTGTGCTCTCTTGGGGGGCTCCTGTTGTGCTCTCAGGGGGGCTCCTGTTGTGCTCTCTCAGGGGGTGCTCCTGTTGTGCTCTCAGGGGGGCTCCTGTTGTGCTCTCAGGGGGGCTCCTGTTGTGCTCTCTGGGGGGGGCTCCTGTTGTGCTCTCAGAGGGGCTCCTGTTGTGCTCTCTGGGGGGGCTCCTGTTGTGCTCTCAGGGGGGCTCCTGTTGTGCTCTCTCAGGGGTGCTCCTGTTGTGCTCTCAGGGGGGCTCCTGTTGTGCTCTCAGGGGAGCTCCTGTTGTGCTCTCTGGGGGGCTCCTGTTGTGCTCTCAGGGGGGCTCCTGTTGTGCTCTCTCAGGGGGTGCTCCTGTTGTGCTCTCTGGGGGGCTCCTGTTGTGCTCTCAGGGGGGCTCCTGTTGTGCTCTCAGGGGGGCTCCTGTTGTGCTCTCAGGGGGGCTCCTGTTGTGCTCTCTGGGGGGCTCCTGTTGTGCTCTCTCAGGGGGTGCTCCTGTTGTGCTCTCTGGGGGGCTCCTGTTGTGCTGATTACCGAGCTTCCATTCTTCAACTTCTATTGCACTTCTAGGCTCGTCCTGCGGTTCCAGACGGCTCTTGTGGTTCCAGGCGGCTCCTCCTGAGGTTCCAGGCGGCTCTTGCGGTTCCAGGCGGGCCCTGTGGTTCCAGGCGGCTCCTGCGGTTCCAGGCGGCTCCTGTGGTTCCAGGCGGCGCCGCCTGCGGTTCCAGGCGGCGGCGCCTGCGGTTCCAGGCGGCTCCTCCTGTGGTTCCAGACGGCTCCTGTGGTTCCAGTCGGCTCCTCCTGCGGTTCCAGGCGGCTCTTACTGCGGTTCCAGGCGGCTCTTACTGCGGTTCCAGGCGGCTCTTGCTGCGGTTCCAGACGGCTCTTGCCTTCGAGCCGCAAGTGATGGACTCCTTCCAGACGGCTCTTGCGGTTCCAGGCGGTTCCTCCTGCGGTTCCAGGCGGCTCTTGCGGTTCCAGGCGGTTCTTACTGCGGTTCCAGGCGGCTCCTACCGAGTTCCTCCTCCACAATACACCATCCATGAGCCAAAATTGGGCCACGTAAACGCTCAATAAATTTAGAGATAAACGTCTTACCGAGTTACGAAGAAGAGCTACAGCTCCCGGGCCCCGGCACCGGGGTGAACTGACGTAGGTTTACGTTCGTACAAAATAATAATCACGCAAGAGGATTATTTTCACGGAGCCTTGAACCACCCACCAACAATTCCCCCCCCCCCCCCACAAGATCGGGCGTAGCCACATCTCATCTTGCAAGATACGCCTCGCTAACAACGGCGGTTGCAAATTACTATCATCTCGTTCGTGGAGAGATATTCCCTCTCCTTTGAATACACCTTAGTTGAGGTTGATTGGTTTGATGGAACGCTGGATCCGGCATTGCAGCCTCTCGTTGTTAATGTTGCATTGGGACGAGGCTTGCAATTCGTGGTATTTCATTGGGGGCGAGCGTGGTGAGCCTTGCAATAAATGATGCAAGTTATTGAGGATTTCAGTGTTGCGCTGGGGCCCCATTGTTGCATTGGGGCGTCCCAATGTAATCCTAGGAGGTCCCATTGTGGTACTGGGAGTCCCAATATAGTACTAGGGGACCCATTGTGGCACTGGGAGTCCCAATATAGTACTAGGGGACCCATTGTGGTACTGGGAGTACCAATATAGTACTAGGGGACCCATTGTGGTACTGGGAGTACCAATATAGTACTAGGGGACCCATTGTGGTACTAAGAGTCCCAATATGGTACTAGGGGACCCATTGTAGTACTGGGAGTACCAATATAGTACTAGGGGACCCATTGTAGTACTAGGGGACCCATTGTAGTACTGGGAGTAATAATATAGTACTAGGGGGACCCATTGTGGTACTGGGAGTCCCAATATAGTACTAGGGGACCCATTGTGGTACTGGGAGTCCCAATATAGTACTAGGGGACCCATTGTGGTACTGGGAGTCCCAATATAGTACTAGGGGACCCATTGTGGTACTGGGAGTACCAATATAGTACTAGGGGACCCATTGTGGTACTAAGAGTCCCAATATAGCACAAGGGGACCCATTGTGGTACTGGGAGTCCCTATATAGTACTAGGGGGACCCATTGTGGTACTGGGAGCCCCATTATAGTACTAGGGGACCCATTGTGGTACTGGGAGTCCCTATATAGTACTAGGGGACCCATTGTGGTACTGGGAGTCCCAATATAGTACTTGGGGACCCATTTTGGTACTGGGAGTCCCTATATAGTACTAGGGGACCCATTGTGGTACTGGGAGTCCCAATATAGTACTTGGGGACCCATTGTGGTACTGGGAGTCCCAATATAGTACTAGGGGGACCCATTGTGGTACTGGGAGTCCCAATATAGTACTTGGGGACCCATTTTGGTACTGGGAGTACCAATATAGTACTAGGGGGACCCATTGTGGTACTGGGAGTCCCAATATAGTACTTGGGGACCCATTTTGGTACTGGGAGTACCAATATAGTACTAGGTTATCTTGAGGTTATCTTGAGATGATTTCGGGGCTTTTTTTTTAGTGTCCCCGCGGCCCAGTTCTCGACCAGGCCTCCACCCCCAGGAAGCAGCCCGTGACAGCTGACTAACACCCAGGTACCTATTTTACTGCTAGGTAACAGCGGACCCATTTTGGTACTGGGAGTCCCAATATAGTACTAGGGGGACCCATTGTGGTACTGGGAGTGCCAAGATAGTACTAGGGGGACCCATTGTGGTACTGGGAGTCCCAATATAGTACTAGGGGGACCCATTGTGGTACTGGGAGTCCCAATATAGTACTAGGGGACCCATTGTGGTACTGGGAGTCCCAATATAGTACTAGGGGACCCATTGTGGTACTGGGAGTCCCAATATAGTACTAGGGGACCCATTGTGGTACTGGGAGTCCCAATATAGTACTAGGGGACCCATTGTGGTACTGGGAGTCCCAATATAGTACTAGGGGACCCATTGTGGTACTGGGAGTCCCAATATAGTACTTGGGGACCCATTTTGGTACTGGGAGTCCCAATATAGTACTAGGGGACCCATTGTGGTACTGGGAGTCCCAATATAGTACTAGGGGGACCCATTGTGGTACTGGGAGTACCAATATAGTACTAGGGGGACCCATTGTGGTACTGGGAGTTCCAATATAGTACTTGGGGACCCATTGTGGTACTGGGAGTCCCAATATAGCACTAGGGGACCCATTGTGGTACTGGGAGTCCCAATATAGTACTAGGGGACCCATTGTGGTACTGGGAGTACCAATATAGCAATAGGGGACCGATTGTGGTACTGGGAGTACCAATATAGTACTAGGGGACCCATTGTGGTACTGGGAGTCCCAATATAGTACTAGGGGACCCATTGTGGTACTGGGAGTACCAATATAGTACTAGGGGGACCCATTGTGGTACTGGGAGTCCCAATATAGTACTTGGGGACCCATTTTGGTACTGGGAGTCCCAATATAGTACTAGGGGACCCATTGTGGTACTGGGAGTACCACTATGATCCTATGGAGCTCACTAAACACCTGCAAATCATTAAACAAATGAAACAACAGATGTTCTTGGGACAAATCAATCATCTTGCAATCTTGCATAATTTAGATTCGCAACTGAAAAATATAATTAATACCGAAATGAGTCTAGTGAGAGTTAGAGGCGCCCGTGAGGGTCGCTTCATGCAGGGAACTGAACCCAAAATGAGAAACAAAAAATCCAATTTACGAGAGGAAGAATAATTCGCGTATAATCGCAACCAAATGACAGGTTCGGTAACTGGTTGGCGTGCTAGACAGGGCCGTTGCGTAGCGTAGAC